CCAACAAGTAAGCACATTAATGCTCTTAAAGGGAAAACAATGAGTGGCTTTATGCATTGAAAAGTGCTGCAAGACAATCAGAATGATTCTGATTTGGTATAGCACTTTTAGAGATCATTTGGCTGTCTGCTGTGCTGTTCTGAGCCTCTGAAAGGAGTCAGGTCTGTCACAGGATACCTTTGGAGAGACTAACCCTCAGTGCAAAGCATGGTATGATTTGTTGGCTCATAATATGTATAACTTTGATATTTATATAGTATTTATATTTTTATGTAGTATTTCTTGACTACATTAAGAATAAAATCTGCAATGTGTGTTTTTTATCAAGCCTAAGCCTTTCCTTTTCCAGAATTATCTGCCAGTAAACAGGATTTTAAGACCTGGCTGCTTTGTGCCCTTTGATTCTGGAGTTACAGTCATCACCTAGACAGGCAGGAGTGAAACCTCCCAAGTCCTTTACTAATTGTGTGATCCCTGTGCTGATGTTTAGCTTTGTGTCTTGTCACAGCTCTAACTACTTTGAGGCACATGTAATTCTCCCTGTGTCTGAGAATGGGAAGGCTCAAAATGTCCTCTTGAAATCAGTAATTACATGTTGCTGGAGGTTTTGTATCCTGTCTGAATGTGTGATTGATTTGCCAGAAGAAAAGAGCTTGGTGACTTTGCCTAGTAATTGATTATGGGTTTAAATTTGCTTTTTAATTTATTTTACTCTAATAAATTGCTTTATTTTCCTTTTGCTTGGTGTGTTAAAGAGCGTGTGAGTTGCCTGGTGACTTGCTTGTTCCCTTTGTGGGGGGAGCTGAGGGTGTGAGGTTGGCACAGGGTGGGTGGGTAAGAAGGGACTCAGTGTCACCCTGTGGAGTCTCTGGTGGGCACTGCCATCAGCAGCACATCCTTTGGTCAGGGTGGGCCTGAGATTTGTGTGTGACTCTGTCACTCTAATGACACCACTACATCCTCCAGTTTGTGGGCTTGGCTGCTGGACTGGGACAAATGGTTCCTTCCTTCCCTTCCTCAGGCTGTGAGGAGCACTGATCCAGCTTGGGCACCTGCATGCGCTAACAGTATCTCCCATAAAAACCCCTAAATCAAACTGTTGTGTGGAGAAAAGCTGTGGCTGTTTTACAGGAAGACCTCCAGTTTAGTTCACAGTAACAAAAAACTAATGATAACATCCCTCACCTGTTTGGCTGTGCACAGAAGCCCCAAATTCCTCTCACCTATCTCGGTAAATAAGATTCAGCAGGTCAATGTGTTGCTAATTAAGTTAATGATGCCAACTCTCTGTAGATGTAATTAAGAATAAATGAGGAACAAACATGGTTGCCCTAACAGGGTTGATTTTCAAAGGATTTCTTTTCAAAGTCTTCTGGAAATAATTGGGGTTTCCCATGGAAGCTTCAGTTGAACCTTTTGAAATGAGTATTTGAAGTACTGGTTTGGTGTGTGGGGAAGCAAACTGGTTAGTCCTGTGTGTGTTTGGGAGAGCTGAGAGGTGCAGGGCTGGTGTTGCTGCAGGAGCTTTGCAAGAGGAGCCAGGGAAGGAGGAACCCTGGAGGATGCAGCAGCTTCTGGTGATCCTTAGGTGGAATTTCTCCTATTTGAGGCCAGACAGGATTTTATGTGAGTGGTGCTGAATATTGCTTTCTGCTTCTAGCAATATGCTTACAAAATTCCCAGTTCTGCTCTTTCTGTAGGATGTTTAATTCTGTTTGAATGCCTAAGTGAAGACATATGAAACCAGGGTGGAATGAACTAGCTTTACCTCTTCTACTGCTTTTCCTTGTGGTTAGGCATTTCTGCTGACCTTTTGTCTAGCTTCTTTCAACCCAAACCTGTAGACCCACCAAACTCCAGCACGGCATATAAACAGTGAAAACATCCTTAATAGGGGGGGGGAAACTGGGTCAGGTCTTTGGTGACACTAGGATTCCTCTGTTCTGCTGTAATTATCAGAGGAGAAACATGTGCAAGAGTAGTTCAGCCTTTTACCAGCCCACAAAAGCCCTTTGGATGCTCTCCCAAGGTAATAGGGTATGGTCCTGGCAAGTCATGGGATCCATGGCAGCTATTTAAACCAGGAGGAGGACTGCACTGTGCTACCTCAGAGGATTTGGTCTCTCAGCCTGCACCTCTGGAAAAGTGAGTTTCTTCCCTGCCTGACCTAAGCTTTGAGCTCACCATTTTCCATAGTTGCTTTGGTTTATTTCATACTAATGCAGCTTGCAAAGTTTGTATTTGGAAAGTATTGCCACTGTTTACCTAAATGTCTGAGTTTAGCTTGTGTTTTCCTGAAAGTTAATGTTTAAAATGCTCAGTTAGTTGTAGGACTTGAGCAGCAAAATAATTTGAGGATGAAGAAGCCTCCTTCAGAATAATCTGAGCTTGTTCTTTCACCTGTTCCCTTTAGAGAGATCTGTGCTTTTCTGATGGCTAATAATAAATCTGTGCATTCGTGGATATTTAGGAAGTAATGAGGTTAAAATAGTTCTGTTCTATATATGTTTGTGCATAAATAACCATGATTAAATCACTAAAAGGAGTTCACTTGGGTGCAGAAGCTAAATTTTGTGTCTGGTTTCCAGAGAGGTGGGAAATAAGTATTAATTGTCAGTTTTTTTGCCTAATAAGGGGGAGAGTGAAAGCTTCTAATTGCTGAAACTTGGCCAGTACAAGTAGTTGTACAAAACAGTAATGGTTTGATTTTTGGCATTAACTTTTTTAACTGAATAACTAACATCATTAGGCTTTGGGTTGTATTTCAGTAGGTTTGCTGGGTTTTGTTACTGGTTTTTACAATGGGCAGTGATCAGGCCTGACAAACAAATGAGGCAAAAGTGTAGTTGTGTATATCAGGCAATAAAAGTAGATTCTTGCCCTTGGACATCCAGTTCTTTGGACTAAAAATTGACAGTCTGTATTGTTACAGAGAGACTGGACAGGAAAAAACAAGCCCAAACCAAGGAGCAACAATGAAGAAAAAAAAAGAGTGTATGATAGGAAATTGTTAATTAAGGTGATTACCTGCCATAAAAATCCAATAATTTAGTGTACTTGGTTTGCCAGCAAGCTGAAAGTATGTTTAGGTGACACATGCTCAAATAACACACTGATTTGGGGGTCAAAACCCAATTCCAGCCCCATTTTCCATACCTGGTTGGAGTTAAATACTGTTTCCAGTGTATCTGCAGTTGCTCTAGCTGGTTCCAGAGCTCAAGTGTAAGTAACAAAACTTGTTATAGAAAGAACAGGTGAAATCTGCACTAAATTAACTCCAGATTAAAATCCATGAATGAGCAGTGTTATACTTCTGAGCACCTGGAGTGAAACCCATTTTATATTAGGTCCAAAATAAGGTTTTTGGACAATTTTGGTGGATCTCACATTATATCACACTCAAGCCTGAACCAGTGTTGTGAGAAGAGATTGCAGTCAGTGTGTCCTCTGAAATGAGGTTGGAGGTCAGAGTTGGACTGAGCTCTGGTGTCATTTCTTGCTGCATTCACTTAATTCATAGTGTAGTCAGTGCCCTGCCCTTCCCAGGAGCTCATTTGGAAAAATATTTATGCAAAACCCCAAATAAGTTCTGTAGTGAATGAGTGGCATTGGTTTCTGAATGCTGGTCATGGGTGAGCGATCTTCGGCCTGGGGAAATTAGGGTGGCAATGAGGTGAATGATGAGCGTGTGTTGGATGTGCAGTGCTTGGTTAAACTGAGAGATCACAGCTCATGGGAAGAGTTGGTGTGCAAACTGGGCGTAAAAGAAACCTGAAGGGTGAGAATATGAAGCCTCATGCTATTTCCTTGATTTATCTCTTAAACTGAGGATATAGTCCAAAAATAAGTGCCAGGATTTTGATACAGAAATTAAGGATTTAGTTTTATCAAGGTCATTAATTTATGAATTAGCTCTTCCAAGCTCTCCTTGCAATCCCCTGTAGGAGCAGTGGAAGTGGTTGAGGGTTTGCTTGGGTGCTCAGTGTGGTGGTACAGACCTCCCCTCAGCCCTACCTGCCTGCCCAGCCCTGGGGTTGGCTTTAGTAGCGACATGGTCTGTGTGGCATTGCTACATTCCTCACAACCCTGAGTTGTGCCAGTTCCCATGCTGTTAATCACACCATATTTTGGTGTCTTAGGCACTGATTTGAGAGAAATTCAGAAGAAAAAAAAATGCCATTACCAGTCTGAGAACTTAATTGGTTCAACTTCTATTTGCAGGAAAAGTTTGAGTTTTCTTCTGTTATTTCTGGGTAGTGTTTTGGGGTGAGATCTAAGCCACATAAAGGTGGTGATGCTGAACAATTAACATAGAAATAAATTAGCAGTTATTACTAGCAGAATCCCTAATTGGATTCATCTATTTTGTCAGGTATTTCCAGTTTTTAATTAATGCTTTGCATGTCTGAACAGAGCATGTCCTTCATATTTCTGGGGTTTGCTGTGTTTTTTAAGGTTGTTACTTAGGGAGAGCTTAAACTAACTTTTCAACCGTGTTGTTTGTGGTTTTTTGTTTTGGTTTTTTTTTTTTTTACTGCAACTGTGGACTTGGTATTTTAAAAAAAACTGAATACTTGTGAATCTTTTCTCCTGAAATTAATTTTCAGCAGCAGATTTGAGGATTTTTGGTCTCTGAAAAGCATCTGCAGCACCAAGGGGGGAATTTTACATTAGTGTCATCTTGTATGGATGGTGAGTGTAGCTTTGAAAGAAGGAATTTGAAGCTAATTCCAATTAAATAACACTGGCATAATAATAATGATGGCATTTACAAAGGGAGATGCTAAATGATACATAAGGGAGATGCTAAATATAACTCCTGAGTAGTAGTAGTTGTTTGAAACTCCAGTTTTAAATTAGACCAACAAGGACACCAATTGCCACTTTTGTGCTCTGAAATGCAAATTGGGCAAATTAGGAACTCTGTTAATTTGAGATTGTTGGGTCTTAATGCTGTTCTTTTTTTTTTTTTTTCTTTTTATTCCCTTTCTCCTCTGCAGCTAAATGGCCTTAAAATGGCAGATGAGCCTATGGAAGAAGGTGAACCATATTCCTACCACGTAAGTGCCTTTGATAGCTGCTCAGTTTAGACACTGGGTAGCATCACTTCCTCCTGAAGCAAAATTTATGCATTCCTTGCTCTTTTTAACTCTTGAACCTATCATTTTATTTGGCCAAGATCTGAAGAGACTCTTAAGTCTCAAAAGATGATTTTGAAAATGAGTACCTGGGTAGGGCCTGTAAGTGCTTTGTTTGGGAAAATCTGCTGCATGAGGCAGTGCTTTATGGAAAGATTGTGTGTGCATTTCCTGATCCTTCAGCCTCAGAAAATGGTCAGGCCAACCCTGAGCCTTTTACACAGAGTGCTTAATGTTGCTCTGATTACACTTGTCATCTCACCTTCCTTTGTGATTTTAATGTGGTTGCTGGACATGCAGCTTAATTCCTCCTGTTTTAGAACAGGATTAATTTTTACACCTGTATGTTAATTTTGCTTTTAGATAGACATATCCCAGATGAGCCTTATTGAGGATGTCCAGCACCTTGGTGATGTGCATGTGTAGGAGTTGGTGAAGATGAGTGTTGTGTGTGCTGGCTAAATCTTGGACCAAACCTGAGGCTAATCCTGTGTGTGGTCAGTGTCTGACTTTGCATGGAAATATTGGAGATCATTTTCCAGCACAGCCATCCTTCTATTTTGAAAAAGATCATGAGAAGGGTATCAATTATCTGCTGCCCAGAGAGGTGGTGGATGCTCCATCCCTGGGAGTATTCCAGGGCGGGTTGGATAGGGCTTGGAGCCACCTGGGCCAGTGGAAGATGTGGCAGGGGGTGGACTAGATGGTCTTTAAGGTCCCTTCCATGTCAATCCAAACCATCCTGTGATTCTATAAGTAGATCATACTTTCAGCTGTAACCTCTGCTTTGTGTTGCAACAACTTTCTAAGTCGGGGATTTGGTGAAGAAACTCTTGGGGGTTGAACCCCTAAGAAGTGCTTGGAGACTTCCTGGTGTGGAGTAAGTACATAATCAGTGTCACAGTTGTCTTCCATGTAACAGAGATGAGCCCTGAGTTGTCTCAGTCTTTCACTCCTGCACCAGAAGGATGTTGCTGAGCTCGTTTGTTGGGTGCTTGGAGCCACATAGCAGCAAAGCTGAAACACTCATGTGGCGCAAAGCCATGGCTGTTTCTTGCAGCTTTGGTTCCTGGTGAACCTGCTGGGAATAGTTCCTCCTTGTGCAAGGCAACTCCCTGGGAGCTGCTGCCTCAGCTCTGAAATGAATTTGCTGCTCCAGCAGCAGAGCACAAAATCAGATAACCAAATTTGCAGTTTGTGGAGGCCAAACTAGAAATGAAAATGAAACTGTTTTGTAGCTGTTCAGCTCTTTATCTGCTCATTTCTCGTAGGTAATGCAGAGGTCTCTTTGTACTCCATACACTTCAGTCATGCTAATTTTTAGCACCTTAATGATAGTTAAGTAAGTGAAATTATATAGACATCTTTGGTGAAGATAAAAACACTTTATGAAAAAAATGCCTCGTTTCATACACCTCAAATTAGTCTTTATTTGCATGGAAAACATTTTTCTCCTGAGTTCCCATTTAGAAATCCTCTCAGTCTCCTCAGCAACCACGTGTGATGTCACAGGCTAATGACTCGAGGTGGGTGATAAACACGGGAGAGGGTGAACTCTCAAACATCTTTTCTCATGCAAAGGTTCACAGTGTTAAGGAATACAAATTAGGGTGGTGAAGAAAAAAGGCTTCTAAATCAAGTATTTACATATTTCACAGGAAGAACCAGCCATTAAGGCTGTTGGACAACTTGGTGTATAATTAGACAACTTGCTGCTTTCATCTGTCTTCAGATGACTCCAAATGCTGCTGTTTTCACTTGCCTTAAATTCCAGGCATGTTTTCAAAACCTAAATGAAAATTAAGAGAGAGCTGCATCTTTCCTGTGCTTTCCTAGATGCATAGTCACAAGAAGGATGGATGAGGTGCAGTTGGGGCATTACACTGTGTCCTCAGTGTGTGTCAGCTGTGGGTTTTGTGTCCAGAGAGGGAAATCAAGGAGCTTAGAGTGTGACTTAGAGAATTAAGTTTGTTATCCAGCAGTGTCTTGTGTTAATACCTACCTTTGAGTGGGAAGCAGATGGAACTGGGCCTTGCCCAGAAAGAGGATGAAATAAGGGATAGAGAGGAGGGGGAAGAACTTGTGAGCAGTCACAGCTGAACTATAGTTTGTGAATATGCTGTAATGTTTCAAGTCTCTTTCCCCTCTGGACAAACAAAGCAATTAAGGCAGAAGCAGTTAATGCAGTGTGATGATTGCTTCTTTTTTCCCCCCTTTAATTACTGCAGTAAGTATGTACAAATGTAGATGATCAGATTTTACTCTGAATTTCTGTGTAAACCCACTTGGAGGATTTCATCTAGGCACTTATGTATCCACTGTGATAAAGCCGATTAGAAGTTTTAATGCATGGTCTTGGGCAGCAAGTCAGCCTGACTGCAGAATGATGTTCTTTCCCAAACCCAACTGTTCCATCAACATTTCAGGTCTGGTTCTGGGGCTGTTTGTACTTGTCATTGAGAGAGAGTAACACACACAGTAGGTTGGTAGTGTGTTTTTCTGGGCTCTACTGGGAGAAGCTCTCAAAATGAAGACCTAAAGAGAGGGTAGGAGACAGCTAATAATTGTTTGGATGCTCTGAAAGTGAAATACTGTAAATCAGGTGGGATTTGTCTTTGGGTTGTGTGCAAGGAGTTCACTGATATTCTCAATAGGGCTGAGGGGTGTTGCTCCTTTTCATAGAAGGTTAAGGAGTTGGAATGGACCTTGAGGATCATCTAGTCCCAGTCCCCTGCCCTGGGCAGGGACACCTCCCACCAGAGCAGGTTTCCTAAGCTGAGGTTGCTGTTGTAGGCCTTAGCATGTAGGTTTTAGTTTCAAGAGTGCTTATTTTGCCATCTCCCTTGTTCTGGCTCACAGAAGCTTCTCTTACACCATAAAAGCTGCAATCCATCATCTGATCTGTTTTCTCACAGCTGTAGCTGCTGTGCTCTGCTTTGCTGCAGGTGAGAGGGACATGAACCAGTCAACAGCACACACACTAAATCAGTCACCTGCCTCAGAACCACCTCCTGAGGGTCTCCACACAGGGCAGTCTTCCCATGGGCTCTGCACCCCAGAGCTCTGTTTCTTCTCTTGGATACAAGAATTCTCAGAGTCCTTAAGATGACTCATATCTTATTTATGGTCTTCAAATGCTGTGTGTTCCTCTAGCTACAAATGGATGACCAGAGTTATTATTTGCTGCTGTGAAAAGCAATAATTACCCCAAATGATGAAATTCAATTTGGCTTTCATTAAGTCTTATTTCAGGAAAGGGGAAAGATGAGAAGAGTCATCACTGGGAAAACTACAGGCTGCTGAGCAGAGGTGAAGCACGGAAGTCTTGGTTTAAAAATCTGTGCATTTTTTCCTTTCATGTTAAATGAAAAAATCCATCTTTGCTGTAGTTATTTTTGACAAAAGGAAATGAACATTCTTGGAGAATTTTCCTTCAGTTTGGAAATTGTAGCTGCATCTATTTAAGAAAGGATGGATAGGAAAAATCTTCATTTGAACAGATTTCTTTTAGGCCTTATTAGAATTTCAAATATTTCATTCAAATAAAACCAACCCAAGGGAAAAACAGGCATTTACATGCACTTCTGGTGTGAGCTGGTGAATTCAGGCCTGCTCATCATTGTATTTTGCTTTGGAATTCCAGGATGAAGGAAGTGTGAAAGAAATTCCTATTACCCACCACGTGAAAGAAGGATGTGAGAAAGCAGATCCAGCACAGTTTGAACTCCTTAAGGTTCTTGGACAGGGATCATTTGGAAAGGTAAGGTGATAAACATTTTCCACACACCTGTCCAGGCATTCCAGACAGAGAATGACCTAGCAGAATTGCTGGGAATGTTTGGAAAGATGTTGACTAATTTAATCCTTTTTCAGTCGTGCTCTGGTGCCAGGGGGGAACTGTTTATAGCTGGACACTAAATCATATCAGACACAGGGAGGGAACAGCCTCAGTCTGTAGGCAGAAAGGTCAGTCAGCAGCAAATTGTAGGAGGGCTGCCATGGAAGGTCAGGGATTGTTTTAGCCTGAGAGAGAGGCACCTTTGTGGTTCACCTGGCCTGGCATCAGGTGAACCACAGCATCTGCAGCTCCATGGGAAGTGTCTCCAGCACTGAGGTTTTTTACCAGCTGGGCTATGGGGTTAGGGAAGGGTTTTATGCAGCAGCTCTGGTGTTGACAGCTGTGTTTGCCTAATGCCATGGCTGTTTGACGTCTGATTGTGGTACTTCCAACTGCCTTATTGCAGCATCAAGTGAGGGATCAGAGTGAACAGTATCTCTGTTCCATCTGTAGCTTAGGGTGATGCTTAGGAGGCACAAGTGGAGGAACAGACACTTCTGGAAGAGATGGGGATTTGTCTTTTAGTGATGGTACTTGACATGTTATGAGTGTTTGGCTTTTCAAAACACAAGATCTGTATTGCTGTAGCTCCAGAAGAGAGATTGTGGCAGTTTGGAACTTGAACCAGCAAAGTAAATAACCTGGGAAATGTATTTCAGAGGTTTTATTTTGCTGTATTTGCCTGCAGCTAAAAGACACAACGTGAACAATTATTCAAATAACATAGAAGAAATATGACCATTTTTCTGTTAATCATTTCTTTTTGTAATGTGCCCCTTTGGTGTCACATTGCAGAAGTGAGATTGAAAATCTAATGTCTTGGTCACTAGTTTGAAGGAGTAGTTGAAATATTAATCCAGGTGTATATCAAGGTAATATCTTTTTTTAAAACCAGACTTTTAACTAGATCTTTTGCAACACACAACAGTCAATCAGCTTTATATATGTTTCCATTTTCCTGTTCTGCTGGTTGTGTGTGTCTCTAGGCAGAATAAACCTCTACAGAGAATGGTATGAGAGAGGGGAAAAAAAGACATCAGGAAGGCATTCTGTGAATAAGTGGTAGTGTAGAGAACAGGCTGTTAAGTACTTCTTAATGTTTCACAGCTTAAGGAACATTTCTTTATGTTACCAATTCCCTCACACACTTCTCATTTTCAGAGCCTGAAAGGCTCCACATATCTATTACTCCTGAATTGGGATGTCTTGACCTGTCTTAGGGGTCAGCACTTCTGGTAGAGATACTTTAGCCCCACTCAGGTTTTACTTCCCAGAGCTCAGCCTGCTTCCAGCCTCAGGAACACTCTTGCTTGGAGTCCCACCTGCTTGGTGAGACAGCTGGTTTGGAGCTGTTTACCCCTGGCACTGCTTGGCCTAGCAACCAGCTGGAAGAGTTGGATGGTGACTGCTATACACCTGAGCAGAGATCTCTCTATCTTTGTTGCTTTCTGTTGGAAAGAGAAAACAAAACAGGAAAGTTCCATGGCTGTTGCCTTCATGGTGTTTGTTTTCTCTCTCCAGCCCCTCCTTCTCAGGGACCTTCCTCTGGGTTTGGCAGACACCAGGTTGGTTTGCTGTAGCCTGGTATGGTGCTACAGCCCATCCTCCACCTGTCTCTTGACCTCAGTGCAGGAGTTAACACTTTGGCAGGAACAGATGGTTAAACGTCATATCCCTTTGTGAATTTCTGTCCTCACCCTTGGATAAGTTCCCAGGGAAGACGTGGAGTTAGGGAGACTTTGCAATTAAATAGGTGGTGCTTGAGCAGTTTTCTGTGGTAGCTGTTACCTGGAGTTTGTAACATTGTACAAGCTCTGTACATGAATTCCTTCCATTCCCACAAGCTGCTAATGACAAAGCACTAAAATTTTTGTATATGCTTGTTATTAATATTTGACTTCTATAATTGTGAGTGTATTCATCTACAGATGTTTTATTTGCTGGTGTTCAAACTACTCTTTGAGCATCTACAGGACATAACAGGAGAGCAGTGCTGTATCAGTCAATGGGCAAAACTTCCTGAAACAAAAAGCCTGATCACCTGCAAATGTGATGACATTGCTCTTCTAACCAAGAGCTTAAAATCAAAACCACTTGTAGAACTTAGGCAATGCTTGTTTGAATTTCTGATTCTAGAATGGAAAACTTGGCCAGATTATTTCAAACATACACACAATTTCCAGGTGATAATTTCTAATAACAAAGTATATATGTAAGTAAATCTCATCTTAATGAAAACCTGAGTAAGGTGAGATCAGAGAGGCAATTTTGGGTAACTCTTGACTTTCTCCTGTGACTTGTACATTGTTTTTTACAGCACAAACATTCCTCATAACTGATAATTGCTGTTACAAGAGTAACAACTCAAACTTCTGTTTCTGAGTTCTGTTTGAACTGAGTTCTATTTTGAGTTCTGGGAACTTTGTTTCTGCACATACCAAACCAATTTGTAAACTGGAAGAGCCAAGAGTTAGACTATTAGTAGATACATATGTATTTGTAATGTGCTATTTTATCTCATATTATGCTTTTCCTAGTGTCAAGTTATACACCATCTATCTTTAAAACTCTTCTGGAGAGAAAAGAGTAGAAAAACCTGTTGGAGTTGCTATTCCAGAGGGAAAAGGTGCTTTGATCTTAAATGCTGAGGTTTCCTTGCTTTCATCTCACCACTTGCACAGAACTCGTTAATAAAACCTGTTCCAGATTTGAGACTTGGGATTTAAACCTCAGAAACGTCTCGAAGTGGAAGACTTGTCATTCTCCAAGAAAATGGTGTAAAGAAACACGTTTCTAGCAGTGCTTGTTTTGATAAATACTTAGTGAAGCAGCTGGAAAGGATCCACAGTTTATGGGCAATGTGAATACTTCAGAGCTTGGTGCTGCTGCAGCTCTAATCTGATTAGGGGATGTAATTGTGCTCTTCCTTCAAAGGTGTGTGCTGAGGAAAGAGCCCTGTGAGCTGTCTGGAATTAATAGGAGCTTTGCAAATGCTTTGTGATAGTTGATATTTGATTACTGAGCTTGCAGTCATTTTCCAAATGGGCTTTCTGTTCCCAGGTCTTCCTGGTGAGGAAGATCATTGGGCCTGACGCTGGACAGCTTTATGCAATGAAAGTCTTGAAAAAAGCTTCTTTAAAAGGTATGTGTGGCTTGGAATTGAGGCAGATTGACCTCTGTCTCTTAAAGAAATACTCCTTTTTAAAAGCTTCATTTCATCTTAAGTGTTTGTCAGGGAGTTCATAACTCTTCTCTGACAGTTGCTTTTTTTCTAGAGCAACTTGTGAGTTCATGTTGAAGACTTATTTAAACTCTGGCCAGGTAGCTTTAATGATGTGGTCACAAGTACTCTTTCAAGGTTGAAAATTGCTTTATTTCATGCTACTTAGCCTTTTCATAATATGAAAGCAAATTAATTTCATAAACAATTTGTCCTTTGTTACTTTAGAGCTTTAGTGTGGTCAAAATTAAGTCATTCTCTGTTGTTCTAGGAGCCATAAGAAGCTAACTTAGTGTTTTGGCTTTCAGGAGACACTTGAATAGGTACAATGGTACTGTGTGTGAATAGGGACAGGCAGTGGTTAAAGAAGAAGCAGCTATATATTCAGTACAGACAGTAAATTCAGAGGTTGACATTGGAAATGTAGATGGAGCTTTTTTCTGGAAAGTAATACAGATTATCACAAAATACTGGGATGTGTTGGAAAAAGAGTAGTGAAGGCTATAAGGAAGTTACAACACCAAGCTGTGTGGAGCAGTCAGAGCTGGAGGGAAGGGCTGGGACATTCAGAGGACCTTGAGAAATAGAACAATGCAAACCTTATGGAGTTCAACATCATGAAGTGCAAGGTCCTACATGTGGGT